GGTGAATGTGTCTACTGTTTTGAGGTTGGTGCCTTTGACAGTGATGTGGGGGTCGTTGTATCTAGGGCGAGGTTTGGTTCTGCAGCCCCACTTGATTGATACCATATGGTTAGCTTACTAAAACAATTTTAGTTAACATACCTAACTTAACCGAGACAAGCGCAGGTAACCGCCACTCGCTGGATTAAGAGGATACGGGGGCGAAATCACAACTGGAAGGCCACGGAGGGGACCGCGTGGCAATTCGCAGTACATGACCACTGCAGTTGAACCGACGGAGTTCCACACCGTCCGAACAATTCCACTAGCAAGTCTACTTGACCACTCAGTGGATTGGGATAATAAAGAGGGCGCAAGCAGGGCTCGAAGCACGCACAGGGAAGCGCATGTGAACTTATACTTGAAGTAACCGTGGTTGGCGTATAAGCGCTCCTACCCACGTGGCGTAGTCACTCGCTGGATTAAAATAGTAAGGAAGATGCAAATACATGATATTTATAAAGTCAGCATACTCGCATCTGCTGGAACTTTTAGAAATGTTATCATATGCTATCACTCAGGTGTGGCTGCAGGACCAAACCTTGCCGTATTTAGTGTTGGACAACGGCTTGTTCATGACCCCCGTTTGGCCCGTTTGGATGGTCAGTCCGAATTTTACACAGCCGGGGGCGAGGATTTTCATGTTCCGCTGCAGATCAGGTTCTGTCATGGTGTTGGGCGTGCAGTCACCCGCGAAGAGCAGGCCGTGAACAGTATATGTGGAGAGACGCTTTGGGACCTGCATGCGCCGGGTCTTGGGAAGCTGGCCATCGCTTCTGTAGACGATACCGATGCCAGGACGCTCATTACGATCCATCAGCATGGCCGAGCGCATGATACTGTAGAGGGCATGAGCGAGTACGCATCTTTGCTTCACTCCATCGGTCGCTGCGAATGCCTCTGAGACTGTCCCATTGTCCGTGACGCGCGCCATTATCCCGTTGTGGAGCTGACGCCAGTGTACGTGAATTGCCGAGGACAGCCGAAATTCTGTATGATTTTTCAATCCATTACGATTCACCGTATCGAAAGCAATATAAGGGTTGAGGAATTTTTTGAAAATCCTCTTGCAGTTGGCGCGCGACGAAGATAATATCGGTTGTTACATGGTATAATCGGAAGTCACACTGGCTTTCCGGAAGAAGTCTATATATCATATTACCGTTGTGACGACGGGAAATGATTCCTGGCAATGTTCAGCAGCGAGATTCCTCTATGACTTTCACAGAGTTTCCGGTCTTCATTCCTCCTGTAGAGACAGACTATGATCGCATCCTTAAAACCCTGGGGGGACTTGTCATTGGCCCCACATATCCTGGAATATCATCGTAAGTTCGTCAATCGTTCGGTGGCCCTCATGCTTGCAGACTTCGACCGAGATCGCGTCGGCTTCCAGTGCTTTCCAGCTGGAGAGTTATTGCACGGCTCGGATTGTTTCTGTGAAGTAAGGCGGGAGAACCAGGGCATTATTCGTTTCCACTTGAGGGGAGCTTGTCAATTACGGCGTCGGAGATCGTGGTTGGTTGGTTGAAGCCGATTCTGAAGTGTTCGGTCCACGGCTCCGGCATTTGAGGTTTTTCCGTAAGGGAGGTTGTTTCACCGAAGCTGAGCAAGAGTGCGATTCTTTTGATGCCAGAGCCGCAGACTTCCTTGGTGTAGGGGGAGAAATTATTTGTTGCATTGCGGTCCGCATACCCGTTGATTTCCTCGGTCCTGCGATCCACCCACACATTTCGCATCTCCCACAGCCATTGCTACACAAGGCGGCGGCGTCTGAGGAAGGCGTCTGTAGGGCGGTCGATGTAGACTTTTGTGTAGACGGTCCTTTTCGGCAAGTAGGTTGCGTCGTTGTCGTCAAACCACTCCTGGTTTTGACGACGTGTGCGACGGAGGACGTCCAAGAAAGTGGTGTGGATGGCGTTTTGCAACTGGCATCGCCGTGTCTTCACGGTGAGATTATCATCCGGAGCCTACAGGTCTTCCAGTGGCTGGGCCAATTGATCGCTGGAATCGAAGCAGTGAACAGCCAATTTCGACAAAATGATATTTAATTTGCCTTATAATCGCCTACGCTATGGTCTCCTATGAGGTCGCAGTCGGAACTTCATCTTGGAAATGACGAGGAGGCAATCCGTCTAGCCGCCAGCATTGTTGATCGCCCTGATCACCAGCAGGTCTTGTCGATTTGCCTCCAGACGAGAACGTAGTCCAGGAGCTGCCAGAACTGCGGTTTGGGGTGCGTCCAAGTTACCTTTTACCGCATCGGAAGGCGAAAGAAACTGCCAGCCAGGAGGAGGCGGTGTTCTACGCAGGTTTGAAAAAGGAGTCAAGTACTGTTGCAACCATCGGAGTCCATGGGGACACTGAAGACACCAATGACAATCAACTTGTCCACCTTCGTACTGAGCCAGAAGGGTATGGAAATCTACGTAGAACTTGTTCCTCACATCGCCCGAGTTGGTCATTGGGGGAGTGTAGGCACTGACGACGGTAGTATACGGCGACTTAAGAGGCGTGTCGGACGGAAACACTCGAAATATCATCTTGCCTTCCCCAGCTGGATTATGATAGGGGGGTCGGGTTAACGTCTGCCCGTCTTTTGGAGAAACCTACTGGTCAGATGTAGCCTATTTTATTGCAAAACTGGTTAACTTTCTTCTGATGTCTACAATCTGGCCAACGTTTGTGGTGCAGACGACAACGGTAGCAGAATGGTAGGGGTCTATAAGGAGCTGATGGCCGCTGATGAGGTGAAAAACTGACAGTGTTCATCAGGGGGGCCTCCAACCCAAGTTCTAGGAAGGGCATCACTCCAGTGGCTGGCTGATTCAGCTGATTAAGGCTTTGTTGTACGAGCTCCTAGTGATGGACGGCATCGCACGCCTTCTCCGATGACAAATCCCTCTCCTCCGGTAAGAGCTTTTCACGACCTTTACCATCACACAAACTAACGATCAATGGTTGGGCAAGCATCGTATGCCTGAATTTGTCTGCCTTGACCTCTTTATACCGACAGTCCTGGATGGCGATAGTCAAATTCGTAATAAAATCACCGATGTTTTGACTAGATTCCTGACAAAATCAGTAGCAATCCAGGAAAACTTTGTCTTTTCTGTCTCACGGCGAATACCGCTTGGAGATCACTATCCCTTGCAACTTAGAGGCATCGAAGTGCCACTGTCCCAACTCGCCCAGGTTGGTCCAAAGGGGCTTCGATCGAGAAGTAACGTGTATTGTAGCCGTTGGTGACGAAATCGAAATCAATATAGCCCTTCAAAATCTTCCCTTAATACGAGGGTTCCGGAGAAACGGTGCAAGCAACAATAAAGTCACGCTTGTTAGATCGCGTCGCCAATGGTATGTGGGCAAAATAGAGGGTTAATTGTAGGCAGAAAATGTACCGAGCACAAGACAGAGCAAGTCGTGACATTTAGGAGACACTTCGGGGTACATGGCATGGATAAATGTCATAGGCTGGCGAGTGGCCAATCATCACGTAGGCGTTCTGATCACGCGTCCGTGACCTTGACGTTTGTTTGTCAGGCACATGCGCTGCGATGCACAGACGCAGTGCGAGCAGCGTACAGTGCAGTAGCGAACCCTGTCCTTAGGATGTACAAGTTGTGTACGTAAAGTAGTCGTGGGTTGGTGTGCCGCTTGCGTCTTATGTGTTTCAGCAGTCTTTCGACAAGCATAGATATCTTTTTCACGTGTGGAAGAGTTCGCCAGGTGACTGTTTTGGCACCTAGGCGGTCGCAGTGTTAGAAATACCCTTTTTCTTGGTTTGTTGGTGCTTCATACACCGACGTAAAAAGTCAAGGTGAAACCCGTTTTTGGAAAATAGTTTGAGAAATACTCTATTTCAGTTTGGTAACTTTCTTCGATGAAACAGTGAGTCTGGGCTCCATTTAGTAAGCTGTAAACAGAACTCCGTTTCTGAAAAACATGGTGATAACGCTAATGATGGAGGATGATCTTTAAGTATGTATCTTTCCAAAAAAATGATGCATTAAGTGATTGATCTGTTTTGTATGGACGAAAGCATCGAAGGATGAGAGTTGTCCATGAACCTCTGTTTCGAAAGCAAACTCGATTCCTGGAAATGTAGGACAGATCTAACTGATTTTTCTTGACAACGACAAATGCATCATCTACACAACTCAACCATAATTTTGAGTTAACTATGAGAAGAACTACAGTTTCTAATTTCTGTGTGTATGGATGGACAAAGCCAAATAATCTCAAAAACCTCATGGAATCTTCCTCAAAGTTGATTTTGGAGTTGTGCCATCAGGTTCGAATTCACTTGAGAAGCTTAGGATTGGCCTTGAAATTCACATCAAACCAGTATTCCAGAAATTAGCTGACAGTTTAACAAGTGGCCACATTCCCGCGATGTATATTTCCCGCCACTAGTGGCGGCTAATAATGTCGTTAATTCTCCGTGTCTCACAGAAACTGAACCGTCTGTCAATGAGGGCGGGCATATGAGGTTTGTACTTCTTTTGTAGCGTTTGCTATAATTAAAAAGACTGTTCGAGGATATTTTCGTGCGAAGTGTTTCCTCCGTCCTGACCTCTCACGGCACACCTGTTCCTGCCAGTCCGGCAAATTCACGTTATGTTTTGAAAGTGCCAACTTAACTAACAAACATCAAGCTTATAAGACGCTCAGCTTGGCGGTGAACATAGAGGCGACTTTCAGGGTCGATGCATTTCAGTTTCGATAACGTACCGCCTTCTCCCTCCCCCCAGTTACGAACTCGTAAACATGACTTGACAGTCAACCTACTTGCGTGCAGACGTGTACCGGCCTTAGTTACTGCACGTTTTATGATTGGTTAGCCTGTCCGAATCAGTCCTTAACCTTGAGGTTTGTCTAGCGAAAATGTAAACGGAACACAGTCGCTCCTTAGATGCAAGCACAGCGAGCGAGGCGTTCGTGCACAGGCGGACATTAGGATGCAGGTAGCTGGGTGTGTGCTGCTGTTGCTGCTCTTCCACCTGCGGCTGTTACTGTCTGGCGTTGATGCTCAGACCGGTGGATCCTGCGATGCAGTCCCGGTGCCACAGCGACTGGATTGCCACCCTGAGCCCTTTGCCTCTGAGGATGCCTGTCGGGCTCGAAATTGCTGCTGGAGCATCCTGGACAAAGATCGCACCATTGCGTGCTTTTTCCCCGCCAATTATCCCACCTACGAAGCCGCCTCCCTCGTGCGTACAGAACGAGGTTACGCAGTAGAAGCAAAGCGCTCAAAATCAGCTTATCCTGTTCCAGCACCAATTGAGACGATAAGGCTTGATGTTTCCTATGAAACTGCCAGTCGTCTGCGTATAAGGTTAACCGATTCCTCCAAGATGCGCTGGGAACCGCCCATTGAACTAGGTCCGCCAGATGCGGGCCCACTCCCGCACAAGGACTACCTGGTTGAAGTCGACACCAGTCGACTAGGCGTCCGGGTGAAGCGTAACAATGGTCTCAACACTACTCTTATTGACTCCACAAATCTGATGGCTAGTGCCCTAGTCTACGGCGACCAGTTTCTGCAAATGGCTTTCGCTGTGAATGCGGATCACGGGTTTGGTCTGGGAGAGCGGGAGGACACATTTCCATTAGACTTGCATGACTGGCGACGAATGGTCTTTTGGACACGGGACCAGGTACCCCGTAAGGATGCCAATCTCTATGGGGTTCATAACTTCTTCCTCGGTCTTGCTGCGGATGGGACCTCGTTTGGGCTCTTCCTTCTCAACAGCAATGCCATGGAGGTGGTAAAGCAGCCCGCGCCTTCCCTGACCTATCGGGCACTGGGTGGAATTTTGGATTTCTTCCTTTTCACTGGACCTCGACCCGCTGATGTAGTTGCCCAATACTACGAGCTGATTGGTCGTCCTCCCGTGCCGCCTTATTGGGCCCTGGGGTTCCAGCTGAGTCGTTACGGATATGGGAACTTAACCGAAATCCGGGCCACAATTGAGCGTAACAGGAAAGCAGGCGTTCCCTTGGATGTTCAATGGTTCGATATCGACTACATGGACCGATTCAGGGACTGGACAGTTGGACAGAAATTTGCTGATCTGGGAACGTTCATTGAGAAGGACTTACATAAGGAACTGGGTCTACATGCCGTGCTGATTGTGGATCCTGCTATCCCCAGCAATGCTGGCGAGGACTATGTGCCATACACTTCAGGCTTGGCTGCGGGAGTGTTTATAAATGACAGTCGGTCTGGAAAACCTCTAGTGGGCACTGTGTGGCCTGGAGAAACGGTTTACCCGGATTTCTTGAAAAACGAAACTTATGAGTGGTGGTTCCAACTGGCAAAAGATTTCCGAGAAAAAGTCCCCTATGATGGTCTATGGATCGACATGAACGAACCGGCAAATTTCAACGCTGGCTCTATGACAGGCTGTGAAGCTTCAAACAGCCTGGATAATCCACCTTACGTGCCCCCAATAACCGGCTACTCTCTATTCGCCTCCACGATCTGCCCCTCCGCCCTGCACCAGTGCATTCCACATTATAATGTTCACAATATATACGCACTTTATGAAGCCAAGGTCACTCGTGAGGCCCTGCTCCACATCAACCCAAACCAGCGTCCCTTTCTGCTAACGAGATCCTCCTTCGCTGGATCTGGACGTTACACTTACCACTGGACGGGAGATGTCTACTCCACTTGGCAAGCCCTAGCGAGTTCTCTGGTACAGATGTTGAATTTCAATCTGTACGCCATGCCTATGGTGGGTGCAGACATCTGTGGTTTTGTAGGTGACACGACGGAGGAGTTGTGTGTGCGCTGGAGTCAATTGGGCGCTTTCTATCCTTTCGCGCGAAATCACAACGGTCTGGGATCCCGCCTCCAGGATCCCGCTGCCTGGTCTGCCCCAGCCACACAAGCCATCGCAAAGGGTTTCGCGCTCCGGTACCAATTCCTGCCTTATCTTTACACCCTCCTTTACGAAGCTAACCTTGTGGGCAGGACGGTGGCCCGTGCTCTCTTCCTCGAATTTCCAAATGACTTGGCCACGCACATGATTGACAAGCAGTTTCTTTGGGGTTCTTGCCTTATGGTGGTGCCAGTGATGCGAGAGGGCGCCCGTTCCGTGTACGCCTATTTGCCGGAGGGCCGATGGGTTGATGTGCACACCCTGCGAGCCTTTCAGAGCCGGGGACAGTGGTTTGCGGTTTCAGCGCCCCTCGACACTATTCCACTCTTCTACCGTGGCGGCTGCGTCCTGCCCATGCATCCGGCCGGCGCAATGAACACTGCCTACGCAAGGCAGATGGGTGTGGGGCTGACAACTGTCCTATCCGAAGTGGATGGCAAACAGACGCTGGAAGAGGTTGGAGGAAAAGGAAATGCGACCGCAGTCGGGCAACTAATATGGGACGATGGCGTGTCGCAAGCACCGGTGCTACTTCACATTTCCTGCAGTGTTAGTCAGCGCCAACTCACGTGTGAGCCGCAGGTCCTCAATCCACTTCCCTTGGAGGAACCAGTAAACCTAGCCTTTGTGAAGATCATCGGACTCGAGAAGAGCCCCCGTGAGATTGAGCTGAACGGAACCCAGGTTAAATTTGACTACAACAAGGAGGAGCAAATGGCAACTGTTACAAATTTGACCAACACTGATTTACGCTATTTATTAATTCTTTCATGGGCTTTCTGATTTTCCAAGTGTACTCTTAGAAAACTCTCATGCCAATGTTTTTAAATGCCTTTAATTTCTTCCTAAAAATGATTAACGCTACCGCTTTGAGAATTTATCTGGAGAGCTTCGAGCCTCCCCAACATCTCTTTGTTGGTCAACACTCTCCCTCCCATTTCGTATCATGAATACGTAGTTACAACGCAACAAACAGCCCAAACTGGCCATCGTGAAATATTTTTAAAGACACTGGCCATCTCAAATTGCACGCATGTCACCACAAAACAAATGTGAATTATTCAAGTTTGGAAAGACCATTAAAGACTGATTTCTGGCTGCTTCCAGCGCAAGTTTTAACAGCAGTAAACTGACGTTTCACTTTTAATGAGGTCTAAGATGGTCCTGTAAGTGTCCTCCGGGACGGAGGTATATTTTTTTTCATTTACGATCGATTGTAAGTTAAGGCCTGCACAGGCGTTGCCGACCATTTTTCCCCAGGCCGTTCTCTTTCTCCATTAGCTCTTTGGAGCCAACTTACTCCACTTATTTGTCAATTGTGAAAGATATGCTGGAAGTATCGAAGCTCACTATGACTTATACAGTTTTCGAAAGATGGAATTTCTTGTTTTTAATGCAGCACTATTTCTATGGTCTAAATATGGAGTACTGCAAAGATTTGAGGCAATGCCGTTGCATTTAATTTGATTTTTCTATCGAACTTTAAGTTTGTTGAAACGGTTGCTTGTATGCTGCGTTACTTGCTTCCTTAGCATTTTTCCAAACTTCTTCCGCTGCGGCCAGTCGGGTTCGACAGGGTTATACTGGACACGCCCATAACTGCAGTTCCCCTGCCTCGGCGTAGCAAAACTAGTGCGTGCGATCTCGTCCACTTTGAAAGTATACGTCCAGATTCTTGTAGATTATCAACCACATTTTCGCCAGCCCACTCATGTGGGCACCTGGATGCTGATATGAATCGACGATTTCTAGGCCAGAGAACAGTGTGAATTGTGGAAGCCCGTTGTCCTTAAACGAGGAGACAGGACTGGTTCTTAGAACCGCAGTGCGACTGTAGTAGTGTGGCCAAGGATCAGATGCGGTTAGAAGTTCCAAAATACAAATTCTGCTTTCGACCGATCTGTCCAAGGCGCTTGTTGAATCTCGAAGAATAAACGAGACGTGATTCATACCAAATCCCGTAAGTGTCGAAATCGGTTCGGAAAACTGGTTGAGAAAAGAGTGAGCTGCGCATAGGCGCACCGCACACGAAAATTCCAGAAGGACGTTTGTTGTCGCAATTTCTCCGGCCCCCTAAAACGAAATAAACTCAGAATGCCTGAGCGTACTGATTATTATTGAGTAACAACATGCATAACCGTAAAATGCATTGACTGCGACGACATCGCTCTTTCAGCGGTGGATGCCTGCCACTGTCAGAGATAACTCATTTCTGTATGATTCAGATTAGCATACCTACCATCGACAAATGCATTTCCCGAGGGGGATGAGTTGACATTCGGCGGAGCAGGAACGACTTGTTCGACCATCTACAATAAGTGATAGGACATTTCGTCTTTCCCTGGAGTTCGCCCATAATGGCGGAATGAAATTACAATAGTATATATTCTGCGCACTTTCAGACATTAACTGAAAGGTTCGAAAGAGCAAGGCCCGTTCTTTTCACAAAGGGAAGAGTTTTCTTCCATAACTTTAAGGAAGTCTGCTTCCTGGATTTCAATTAGACTGCAACTTGCCAAAAATTCCATGGTTAGCACTATTAGGACTGAAAGAGCTCGTACTTTCATGCTTACAGACTGATAAGCATATGTTCAAGATATGAGGAATCTGGGGCGGCAGTCGGAAATCGAATCTGGATTCTCCGATAACCTAGACTGCCTTTCAACAGTCGCTCCAAATTGTCAACACTCCCAACTTGTTCATATCCGTCTGTTAAATGTGCGTGCGTTCAAGCGCCTTAAGCTAACTACACTTCTAAGTTTCAGCTGTTCATATTTGTAACTCGAATTATGACGTAGCATGAGCCGTGGAGGAGAGTGCTTCGCTCGTCTTAAAATGGATGTAAATTTGGCGCTTTTACTTGCTTCCCTGCACTGAAACTGCTTTCGAAAAGGGACGTAGTCCGGGGCCCGACCGTCGTTTGGGGCGGCGAGTTGGTAGCGGACTAGAATGAAGAAAGTGATAATTTTGCTCATTCCCAGTCTGAAATTGTTTCATTTGTATAAGGAACATGTGTGCACATAAACTCCACTGGCCGTAAAAGCGTCCAGGACTCAAAAAGTGTTCGAGTTTTAAATATAACTAAGAACAGACATAAAATGAGGCTTACAGTCCTTGAGTAGTAATCAGCAGATAATTCCGCACATGGCTGGAAAATGATGGAATATGTGGGTCTCTGGTTTGTTCGCTAGTGGTTACTGAGGCTAGAATTAGGGCAAAGTAGTTGTGTTGTTTGCGGGGCAGTAAGGTAGTGGCCCTCGTAATTGAGCCTACTCGGGAATGCAGTTGTCCTTATCCTGAGATTCAATAACCAAATCTGATCGCAGAGAAGCCGATGGATATTCCGCTGCAGAGCTCAACCGGATGGTCACAGGCAAAAGAGCAAGGAATGGTCGGAAATAAGACAAAGGAGACTACGGTGGCTAGTTCAGATCGTTTTGCAGTCATCAGCCAGCCAAACCCCAACTCCAGACGGGGAAAATCGGAGGTTTGATCCCAAGTTTAACTGGTCATTAAGCCATACGTTCCATCATCTGTAATGTTAGACAGACAAATTCACCTTGGGGAGAGGAGTAAACCGATTTAGACCGAGTTAAATAGCACCGAAATAAAGAGGAACGCCTGTGTAGCGCCCTCTAATCAGGCAAAACCGACGAACGGCACTTCCACACGACAGTGTTCCTGATAACAGCGACAGTGCATTCGACTCGATGTACAAATGAACCCGATTCAAACAGCAAGCACTCCATGTATATGGTTGAGGTATGGCTAGATGAGAACACGAAATGAGCCCGAAATGGTCATTGGACTCTCCTCTGCTATGTCAGTAATGCTTACTGATCCTCTCTTAATATCTTTACAGGACTCTAGTGCCCGTAGAATAGATTCTAGATTGGTAGACACTCTGGTCAATAGGTTCTGACTTTGACTACTGTCCACAATCTGTTCTCCGTTCAGCCTGCATCACGTATATTTTGGAGACTGGCTTCTGTCTGCAGCGCGAGCTGGTCATATGACGAGTTTTAGACGGATTTCAGTACAACTTGCGAGCACCGTAGTCGTTCAGGAAAACGCATGGATAGACCTGTGTTTGACCTCTTGTCCCCGTTTATGAACACTGCAATATCAGCGGTCAGGCTACTTGTTTTTCAGCGTGTTTAACCTCTCTGAAATGCGTAAATGCTAAAATCCAGGCCTTGTAAGCAGAACCCATTTAGAGGCAAACTGTTCTATTGTAGTTATTTTTTGAACACTCAACATTTATCCAAAAATAAGCACAGGCACAGGACATGGGTGTTTTACAATGAGGGTTTACTGGATATTAGAAAGAGTACATTAACGTGCTTTATCTCGTGCAAAAAGATCAAATCCTCCATCAGAACCCACTCGCCTACTAATGAACCCGACATCGTGTACATATCTAACGGACTGATTGTCAATAAAATAAACATGATGTGGTAAGGCGCCCGCCTCCAAACCCTCAGCTCCACCCAAAACACCCACCTAAAATCATGAGACGACAGAATATCGGCGAAACACGCGTCTGGGCTTGTACCTGTGCTGCCACGTACAGTATATCGAGCTATCTATGAATATACAACTGCTTGTCTGTTGGCAATTTATGAATATTACGCGGTTACTCCACTGTGGCTGATCGGCTTCAGTCCAATTATTCATACCAAATTTTAGTCTGAGCCTATAAGCCTCATATAGACTGATTTACTCCAAGTTAGCAATTAATTTCTGCGGGAATTAAAAAGCTGCAGTTCCAAAGCTGTAGCACCTACCAGAAAAGCACACGGAGAATCCGCTGATGAGTTGAAATCCCTCTGCAGCTGTGTCATTCAACGGCAGAATACCAGCGAAACATGTGTCTGGGCTTTTAGCTAGCACATGCGCTGCCGACTATTACAGTACGCGAAGGTGTAGCATAGGAGACGCCAAATGGGTCTGTTAGTTCAGGCACGACTGTAGTGCTAAGAGGCACTTGTAAACAGTACACTGACAGTCCTCGCCGAAAGCACTCATGGGCCTGGTGGTTACCTCTGCTTATCCTAACACCCAGTTCTCATCCGCGGCTTCACTAAGCCCCGCTCATCGCGGGGGCCACACCCCAATCACTGGCCTTGAGCGGCGAGCTAAACTAAATCAGGGTGACAGAAGTGTGTGTCTCCACATCTGGTAGTCCCTGGACTCACCCCTATCATCCCAACCCACAAACAAAAGGTTCTACGGAGGGGACGATATGTAATCTCGCAAGTGGCCCAGACTAATTTGGATCGTCTTTCCACTAAATAAGAGGCGTGGCCCGTAGTGAGATTTGGCTGGAAAAGGGTATAGAGAAGGACCCCCTTTAACTGTTAGTAGACTGTGGATCGTGTCATATTGGGTTTTTTCTCGGCATACATTTGCGAGCTGTTCCAGAAATTACACTGCCAACAACGAATACTTCCCACGACCTCATACCTTGACTCCAAATCTGTTATTTTGTGAAATTCACTTTTTATTGTTTAATTACTACTCTCATTGCCGCTGTCGTGCAATAGCGTAGGATAAGACTTTCGACATAAATCCCGGAAATTTCTGTGTTTTCTCTCATTTTATCAGCTTACTGTTTAGCGTGCTGCCCCACCCATAAAACTCCCTTTACTATAAATCACGTATGGCACGATCCACAGTCTACTGACAGTTAAGTTGAGTCCTCCTCTAAACCGTTGCCTTTGGTGGTCATCTGAGATGACAAAAGAGTCCTACTTGGGGGCAGTACTATCTGCCCTTCCCCT